GACCTGTTTGAACAAGTGAAGTGCAAAAGTTCGGGCCTTTTCTTTGTAGCAACCCAGTATTTGGGTGTGTCTTAAGACGGTGGTTTTTCTTTTGGTTTCCCTTTTCTTCCAACCCCAAAATGGGTATCGAGCCTCAAACAATTGCACGACCATTTGGGTGTGGCTCAAAATTAGACAGGAGGTAGAAGGAGGGGTTGCGCAAGTTTTGGTCCATCTTTCCACTTACCAGGGTTCCATTTTGGTACCGTTTTTTTGAGCCACAGCCATTTGGTGCATCAGTTCTCCACTCAGGTCATCGTGGAGAGCGAGACCGGGAACCGCTGGGTAGGGTGCCCGGCATTACCTTCGCGGATTCGAATCGGGTGATCCACTCCCTCAGACTAACGTGGAAGATCCCAGAAGGCCTCTGTAAATGGAACCAAGTCTTCTAAAGGGGTCCTGGAAGCTTCCATGTTAGCCTGGTGGAGGGTCCCTCCTTTTGTGGGTACCCTCCCGTCCACCAACATGGAACCTGACTGAGGGGTCCTGGTTTAGACTTCCTTTACAAGGCCTCTGGTGATTCCATGTTAGTGTGGACAGCAGCATAGATGGCCTTTGTACATTTGTTTGCTTGAAAGTAGATGGCGATTCCTGGTTGACCTGGTTGTTTCATAATGTATCCTCCATTTGTCCAAGAGGACACCTATGGGAATAACAAACAAAACACTGGAATTGTGCCGTGTACTGTCAACGAACTGCAGCCCATTTGTTTCCGCAAACGACCCAAACTTACGACCTCATTCACGCCTTTGGAGGAAATAGTGGGAGGGAGGGGCTTAGAAGTCAGTGAAGCTGTGTTTCAGCCGGGAGGTTTTGTGAAAAAAGGTTAACCTCCCCCAATGCTTTCCAGCGACCTTTCAGACATGGGTGTGTGTTTTTCTTTTTCTGGGGACGTGTTTTCCTGTTCGTTTCCCTTTTAAACCACCGGCCCACACCGACCGCTGAAAAGAATGAGCGAAGTGTAGATAGAAACCAAACGCCGCAAAGATTCTGAACAGAAACTTGCGGGCTGATGCCATGTTCAATGTTCTAGCCAACCATTTCCATCTTTCGAGGAATCCGTATTTTCGGAAAAAGGCCCAAACCTGGACATGTCAAGGGTTTCTTGGTTTCTCACAAGAATGATGGGTGAGCATTTGAGTTTAGCTTGATTTGTCCTTCTTCTTTTTTTCTCGTAAGTACAGGGCCGCACTTATAACTGGGGTCTCCTCCAGTTTTTTTTTTGTTTTTTTTAAATCATATTCAAGGGTAGACATAAAATTTTGACATCAGATGAGATGGTATCTCTCTTTTTTGTGTACCCAGATGCGGCCTTGACAAGGTCTCTTTAGCGTTCGACGCGCGAGCCCTTTGGTTTCCCTTTGGCTTCTCTTCAACAAGCCAAAACGGGTATCCAGTGTTCCAAGGGCCTCCGGTCAGCATCCAGAGGGGCCAACTCCAAACAAAACTGCAGCTTCAAAGGGGAAATCGAAACTAGAACGGGGAACTGCAAACGGGTGCACTCGAATGCCGGGTTTCCCTTTAAACACGACAAACCAGGATGCTTCTCAAGGCTGAAATCAGGCACACGCCTCATGAGGGTGTCTTTCTAAAATTTTAGGCGACCCCCCTCCAAGTAAACAAAAAACATAGTTTTCCTTTTGGTTTCCCTTTAAAACCCACCCAAACGGGTTACCAACTCAAACAAGACTCTAGAGAGATGACCTTGCCACATCGCCCGAACGCACGCCCGCTCCCTCGCGCCGCCGAGCGACGCGTTGAGGTGCTGCACGTGGATCCGCTGCAGGTGCGCCAGTGCCGGATGAAGCTTCGCCAGGAGCTCTTCGATGTCCAGGAGCGAAGGCGGTGACTCCTTCGGTCCTCGTCCGCAGAATCGGGGAACCCGAAAGTGGCGGCGCGTCCTGAAAGGCTTACCAAAGGAAAGGCACAACAAAAATTGGCACCCTCAAGGAGCCTTTTCCCGAAAATGGCTGAAAGGCGTCCTGGCTTCCAAAGGAAGGCACAACAACAGTTGGTTGGGACCAAACCAAGAAGAGCCACGAGAAGGGAGTGTGGTGTTTTTTGTGCCATTGTTTCCGGACCCGAGTGTGCTCGACAATTGACTGGAGTGAAATCATGTCTTGCGAAGGGTTGCTTAAGAATTCTACTCATGCAGAAATGCTTTCAAAAATAGCCACAGGATTTATATATATATATATATATATTAATATATTTATTTTTTCCCATGGTGGTTTCCATTTGATATGAGCCAATAGGATTTGATGAGGAAGCACTGGGCCAGAACTGGGACCCGAGTTAGCCTTTGACTCAAACCACATCCTCGGAGTTTCTATCATTTCGCAGGGGGAGCTGGGCCAGAGGAGACGAGGTCATGGATTTTTCGGCAGGCCCTGAAAGCCAGACTTGAAGTTTCAGGCCCAGGCATGCTGATGCTACAAAGGCTCGTTCAGAAACGAAGGTAGGGCCCTACGGGAAGTTATCAGGACTGATTTGGGAGCTCTGCAGGGCAATCGCAGGTATCGCTAGCCACTCCAGGGGCCAACATAACAGCTGGAGGGGGTAATACTTTGGTGTGCAGTCTTGGGCCATTGGGTTCCTCTTGGCTTCCTCTAAAGCACGCAAAACTATGGGCCCATCCTTCCATGGCCTCCAGCTCTCGCTCTCGCAAGTGTTTGCCAGGAGAAGAGGGCCCGGATGTTGCGGCGCATCAAAGCCCTAAGGGCAGAGCTCCCGAAGGCAGGGCCGGGGTTTTCCGGGTTCTCTTGCCTGCTTATCCTGATTGATCGGTCAGAGAAGTAGATGGGTTCCACAGGTTTAGATTTCCAGGTTGCCATCCTTTTTTAGATGGGTTCCACTGGTTTAGATTGCAAATTCTAGTGGTTGTTTGTTGCAATATTTCTTCATGTTGGTCTTAGCGACATGTTTATCGTTTAGCTTCCAAACTTGAAACGTTCTGTTTGCCAGGTTTCTTTACCGCTTTAGTCTACGCACCAAAATACATAAACTTCCGTTGCGGCCTGCCGGTCAGTTGTTCATTCCTCGTGGGCTTTTCACTGGGCATGTCAGGCTCCGCGGTGTCTCGGGCTTTTTACAGCTGGAGTTGGAGGGAGGGAGGAGGCCTTTGGGATTCCATCAATGGTTCTGCGTTTCTTTTGTGGGGGCGGACTTCTTTCAAAGGGGAGACGGGGTAATTTACTAAAGGGTGGTCAAACAGCCTTGTCCTTAGCTTTCCCTTCGGTTGCCCAGGCTTTCAGTTTCCATAGAGCGCTTGGAATTCTTTCATTGGGGTCGCCTGACGTGCGCTATTTGAATTTGGCAGTTCAAGCCACTTCAGCCACTTCAAGTGGATCCAAGTGGCTCCAAGTGGCGCGTGCCGCTTCAAGTGGCTCTAAGTGGCTCCAAGTGGCACGCGCCGCTTCAAGTGGCTCCAAGTGGCTCCATGTGGCTCCAAGTGGTGCATGCCGCTTCAAGTGGCTCTAAGTGGCTCCAAGTGGCATGTGCCGCTTCAAGTGGCTCCAAGTGGCTCCAAGTGGCACGTTCTGTTTCAAGTGGCTCCAAGTGGCTCCAAATGGCTCCAAGTGGCTCTTGTCCAAGCGGCACGCGCCTTTCAATTTGCTCCAAGTATCCTACGGCTCTTCAAGTGGATCCAAGTAGACATGACGTAAAGGGCCCCCTTCCTAACAGGGTCCTCCCCCAAAGGCCCCAGCTGCAGAGTCGTTTCGGAAGACGTCCAAAAGTGTCCGATTCTGTTTTTTTGAGAGTTGGCGTGCCCACTTTCACTGGTCATTCACGCTCAAATGGAACTGTGTCGCGTGGAAATGGGGTCGCTTCACGCTTTGTCACGCTCCAATTTTTGAACGGACGGTGTTGCACTTCAGGCCTTGTCATGATAACACAGCCTTATCAAACACCCACAAACACTCTTCATGAACAGCAAGTACAGTTATAGGGACGAGCCGGCTCAAGGAGACTTTCCATACAGCCCCAAGCTTATGCAACCGTTGAGGGTCTCTGATGGACAACCCTACTTCTTTCGACAGACCCCGCTAGGAAGGGTCGTTCGAGGTTTCGAGATATGAATAGAGGGATATACATCCAACTGCATGTGCTGGGCACAACAGTCGCCCACTCAGCCCATGGCGTCCGCGCCCTCCGGCCGTGGCTGGCCGTGTCGGGGCGAATGCGGCGGGAAGCTCTCAGGCCGAGGCGGGGTCGCGAAGTGGATACTCATACCTAGTAAATGGGGAGCACTCACGGCTATACCCGCCTAGCGGGGCTGCAAGTAGCTCCTGTCATTTGGGCTGCCTGAGGTTAGCAAGTCGGCTCACTTACCAAGTAGCCTGCTTCTTCAAGAAGGGGTCAAGTCTGTGGCAAAGAGCAAGCTGTCCCCAACTTCCTGCAAAATGCCACTAAACGAACCTGCTTGTTGTTTGGGCGCTGCCTGTGATAGCTGCAGGGTAGGCTGTTGAGATTGCAGATAGTGTCGTCACTGGAGACAATGAGCCGTATCAAAAAGGAATATCTCCTGGTCGCTCTGCCATGACTGTTTGGTCCTTTCTGTGAGCGCTTGGCTGTTTTCCTGCTGTGTTCATGCGAGCCGTTTGACCTGACAGCAGCCCTCGAGCACTCAAGTGATTCCAAGTCTCTGCAGACCACTGACCCAGAGAAGAAAGTGGCTAACTGCAGCACGTTGGCCATTACAACAAGCTGGCACCGGAGACTACCGACGGGTGCCTCCTGAATCCACTACCTCATGAAATACCTAGGCGACCTCATGCTGTACGACCTCATGAAGTACCTGCGCAACCTCATGAAGTACCTGTGCGACCTCATGAAGCACCTGTACGACCTTATGCTGTCACCTCGTGGTCTACCTCATGGACTACCACCACAACATCACCTTCTACATCCTCCACCTCATGAAGTACCTGTACGACCTCATGATGTATGACCTCATGAAGTACCTGTACGACCTTATGCTATTCCACTATACCACCTCATGAAGTACCTCTACGACCTCATGCTGCACGACCTCATGAAGCACCTGTACGACCTCATGCTGTACCACCTCATGGTCTGCCTCATGGACTACCACCACAACATCACCTTCTACATCCCCACATCCACTTCCTCATGAAGTACCTGTACGACCTCATGATGTATGACCTCATGAAGTACCTGTACGACCTTATGCTATACCATTTCATGAAGTACCTGTACGACCGACCTCATGAAGTACCTGTACGACCTCATGCATCTGCTGCTGCATTCCCTCGGGGCGCAAATGGGCGCAAACAAAAAAGCCGAGTTTTTGGAGTTCGTCGTAAAACTCGGTTTTTTTATTTGCTGCTTCGGCAGCAGCCTTGACGCCTAGTTTCCCCGTCCCCGCGAAACCTAACTACGAGCCCAGGACCTATCCACGCTTGTACTTTCCACTCATTTTCGCAGACTTCGAGCCGCACGGGGAGGTCAAACATCGCTGAGCAATTTCCCGGACCTATCCACGCTTGTGCTTTCCACTCAGTTTCACAGATTTCGAGCCGCACGGGGAGGTCGATGTCGTTGTCGTTGTCGTTCTTGTTGTTGCTGCTGCTGCTGCTGAGCCAGCAACTGCCTGTCGAAAAGGGGATACGTGATGCGGCTCCCACAGGCTCACCGCCTGTGCAACCGGACGGGCAGGCTGGCTGTTGTTGCTGTTGTTGTTTTGTCTGGCCGGCAGCTGCCTGTCGAAAAGGGGATACGTGATGCAGTTCCCACAGGCTCACCGCCTGTGCAACCGGACGGGCAGGCTGGCTTCGTCCGTCTGGTGATTCTTGTCGATGTTGTTGCTGTTGTTGTTGCTGTTGCTGTGTCCCATTGGGCGCAAAATGGCGCAAAATGGCGGGCTGCCAGTAGCCGCCTTTCTGGCTGTATCGCACGCGCCTGCCTCTTCCCAAGGCTTGTGCTCACCCCATACCTGGCCGCGCCTAAAAACAAATTGTTTCGGCCCGAAAAATCGTTTTTGCGTCGTCTCTGGCTGCCTCGCTCGCGCCCGCCTCTTCACCCCAAGCCTGGCGGTGTCAAAAAAGAATTCGTTTTGCGCGACAGGTCCGAGATTCGAGCCTCCAAATTTTCCCGCGGGACAAAGCTGAGTCCGACGCATTCGCCGCTGAACCAAGGCCGGCTTGCTCACAAGCGGGGCTGAAAGCCGCCTTTTCCCGTCTGGCCGCTCGGTCTTCAAAATCCGGCTGGGCCAAAAACAATTTATTTCGCCCCGAAAAAATGTTTTTCCGGGGGGTCAGCTCCAGGTTGCCCTGGCAGCCCGCCTAGGCTGCCCAAGCCCGAGGGTGTGGTCTATCCACGACTGCCTTTCCAAGTTCAATGTGTGTCTTGTCACCCATTACCGTTTCAAACCTATCCATGCACGGCTTCGTCTTGCTGTCCACCCACGACGTTCTATTTGCACTTTCCCGTCCTCACATGGAAGTGCGAATCCAGGTGCAAATCTCATCAGTTTAGGTGCAAATCTCATCAGTTTAGGTGCAAAAAACAAGAGATGCAATCTCATTAGTTTAGGTGCAAATCCCATCAGTTTAGGTGCAGGGGCTCTCAGACCAAATCTCAAAGATGTCCAGAATCCCTTTTTTCAAAGCCCTGCAAGACCTTTGGGCAAAGACGTCCAGAAAAGGGCAAATCCCATCACCTTTGGGCAAAGACGTCCAGAATCCCTTGTTTCAAAGCCCTGGAAGGGCAAATCCCATCACCTTTGGGCAAGGACTAGACGTCTCCTTTTCAGAGCCCCTTGAGGGGGCAAATCCAGGTCTGGGCCATTTCTGTCTCGAATTGAAGCTCAGAAGCTCTAGAAGCGATGGCGTCTTCTCCGGACCATTACCGTTTCAAACCTATCCATGCACGGCTTCGTCTTGCTGTCCACCCACGACGTTCTATTTGCACTTTCCCGTCCTCACGTGGAAGTGCGAATCCAGGTGCAAATCTCATCAGTTTAGGTGCAAATCTCATCAGTTTAGGTGCAAATCTCATCAGTTTAGGTGCAAATCCCATCAGTTTAGGTGCAGGGGCCCTCAGACCAAATCCCAAAGATGTCCAGAATCCCTTTTTTCAAAGCCCTGCAAGACCTTTGGGCAAAGACGTCCAGAATCCCTTGTTTCAAAGGCCTGGAATGGCAAATCCCATCACCTTTGGGCAAAGACGTCCAGAATCCCTTGTTTCAAAGCCATCACCTTTGGGCAAGGACTAGACGTCTCCTTTTCAGAGCCCCTTGAGGGGGCAAATCCAGGTCTGGGCCATTTCTGTCTCGAATTGAAGTTCAGAAGCTCTAGAAGCGATGGCGTCTTCTCCGGAGACCTCTCTACGCAAGCGAGCGGCAGCAGCAACGCTCGAAGAGCTGGAGTTGCAGGCCAGCTTCTGGAATAGCTGACAATAGAACCCGGTTGCTGTAGGGTGCCCTAGATTCCAAATGCATTTTTGCGTTGCGGGGGGGTTTTGTTCGCCGGGACAGTAGAGTTGCCTCGGTGATAGATCTTGATCTGCTCGGGCAGATTCTTCCTTATGAGGCGCGCAGTTGAACTTATTTGGTTGGCTGCGGTGAGACGGCAGGTCATCCGCAATGCAGAGGGTGTTTAGGGTTTTTGCGGGGCTGAAAGACAAAGCCCCAGAAGCGGCAGCCACTGCAGAGGCGCGCAGTTGAACTTGTTTGGTTTTGCGGAGCTGAAGGACAAAGCCCCAGAAGTGGCAGCCGCAGCAGAGGCGCGCAGTTCAACTTGTTTGGTTGGCTGCGGTGAGACGGCAGGTCATCCGCAATGCAGAGGGTGTTTAGGGTTTTTGCGGGGCTGAAGGACAAAGCCCCAGAAGCGGCAGCCACCGCAGAGGCGCGCAGTTGAACTTGTTTTGTTGGCTGCGGTGAGATGGCAGGTCATCCGCAGTTGCAGCATGTTGCAGAGGGTTTTAGGGCTTTGCGGAGCTGAAGGACAAAGCCCCAGAAGTGCATGCCCCCGCAGAGGCGCGCGGTTGAACTTGTTTGGTTGGCGTCGTTGCTGCGGAGCATTCCATTCTGAGACAGGCCTCCTTGCGCAAACTGTCCTTGCAGCAGTTGAGAGAGATGGCCACGAAGATGAAGGTTTCTAAGAAAGGCACCAAAAGCGAGATCAGGGCAAGGCTCCAGGCGCAGCTTGCGTTGAGTTGCGCGTTGGTTTGAGAGGGTGCTTTGCAGTGTTTTGTGTTGCGAATCTGGTGTCCGCAGTTGCGCTGAGGCTGCTTCTGTTAGTCACACACACACTCGCTGGAGGCAAGGCAGACCCAGGCCTGCTCGACCAAGGGGGCAGGAGCTGCACCTGCGTTGGCGGTGCCTTGGCATTAGCGATAGCCAGTCAACAATGCCTTGTGCCGGTCCTAAGGACGAGCGACGGGGAGCGCAGGCAATTGCTCATGTGGAGGCGCGGGTGTGTCACAATGGAGGGGTGGGCCTCCATCCAATCTCCAAACTGCGCGCCCGTTCTAGGCTGAAGAAGTGGACGGCCATATCGCCGAAAGCCAGGTGGATAAAGAAGCTCCAGTTGACCTCACGTCGCCAGCTGGCTGGTCTCAAGAAGGCCCAGTGAGCCGTGCGACCCGAAACTTGCAAGTGCAAGTCAGCAAGCTGGAGCCCAGCAAGCGTGGTGGGCGCAGAGCAAAGATGGCTGATAAGCCAAAGCCGAAGAAGCGAGCTGAGCCTGTGTGTCTGGACGACAGCGACTTCGGTGGGCGCAGAGCAAAGATGGCTGATAAGCCAAAGCCGAAGAAGCGAGCTGAGCCTGTGTGTCTGGACGACAGCGACTTCGAGATCTCGCGCTGCTGGCTGCAGGCCCATGCCAAGAAGTTTGCCCAAGACTTGCATGAGAAAGAGGACTTCACTGGAAACCGCGTCAGCTTTTCCAAGAACTCCTTGCTGGCGTTGCAGATGTCCCTTGAGATGTTTGTTCCTTAGTCCGCAAGCGGATTCAACACGCGGGATGTTGGTGGAAGGGTCAGGTTGGAATTAGCCCCGCAGCCCTCTGCGTTTTGCGTTTGCTGGGTCCCACAATCATGGAAGTGCACACTTTTTCAGTGCGTTGCGTCCAGGTAATCCGCGGGGAACTGGGGGACACTTGAAAAGGGTTTCGTAATCATTGCACCTACATGTGTTTCAGTCTGAGTGCCAACCCACTCCTAATGCGGCAGCTTACACACACTGCAACAGGAAGTTTTCCGCGCCCAAGTGAACACCAATTTTGAAGACTCTCCCACTAACATGTTGAAATTCCAACACTCCACTTTAAGCATAGAATTCTTGCACGGCTTGCGGGGAAGCATCAGGTGATACTGGGTCCGTGGGAGACTTGAGCTGCGAGGAAAGAACTTGTGCCATTTGCGGTGTTGGTGACGGTTGGTGCGCCAAGCGTTTGTGGACACGGCTCGCACAATTTTGAAGCTCGCGACAAGTAGAAGCTAATGTGAAAACACATAGGCATCGCAACATAAACGCGCTTTTTTGCCATGCAGTTTTGTAAATGGGCTAAGTTCTTGGTGTTGCGGGCTAACTTGTGTGCCATGGGGGTTGGCCACGGTGGGCCAAGTTCTTTAGCAATCTGGTAAGTTTCCCGGCGGGTCGTAGATATTGAGGAAATATCATGGTAAGGTTTCAGCAGCCATTTTCTGTTTTTAGTTATGGCAGTAGAGTCCACTTGCTAGCGCGAAAAAATCCAGAGACTAGCGAAAGACTTATAGAGACTGAGGCGCAGGAGTGGATGACAGACTGCGCCCTATTGGCGCAGCACGGAAAGCGCACCACGGTGTGCAAGAGTGATCTCGCGCTCTCCTTGCTGATGCGCAACGAGGGCTGGGTGGGCGGCAAGCACAAGGAAATTCACGAGGAGGTCGAGGCGGCGCGCGCTCAGAACAAGAAGCTGCGGAAAAGCCAGCGTGACTGCGCCTTGCCCAACGCAGATTTTTCTGATGCTTCTTTCATGGGCTCCGCTGTTTACCTGTGTCCGCATGCCTTCCAGCACCGATTTTCATTCTCACGGACCACTCAGCTGCAGTTTTCCCCGGCTTGCCTAGGTGCTGAGGTGAAATTGCCGACGGTCAGGCAGATTGAGAAGATGGTCTTCGGAGATTGAGCCTGCAGCACATGACAGATCGCGTGAGCCCCTGCAATTTTGGTAGTAACTTTCGCATTTTCGAGCAGTGCGCGCCAACCCTGCTGCGTTCAGAGAAGAGGAAAAGAGAGAAAGAGAGAGACAGAGAGAGAGAGAGAGAGCGAGAGAGAGAGAGAGAGAGAGCAAGTGGCGTGGCATGGTGAAGAATTGGAGAGCACAAGGGCATTCTTTCGTGACAGCAAAGGTGTTTGGAATCAACCTGCGTTAAACACCAATTGGGGCAATTTACGGTACCTTTGGCTCCTCACAAGGGAAAGAATGGGAGAGCATGAGGGCATTGTTTCGTCGCAGCAAATGTGTTTGGAACCAACCTATGTTAAACACCAATTGGGGCAATTCGCGGTACTTTTGTCTCCTCACAAGGGAAAGTATTGGAGAGCATGATTGTTTCGTCGCAAAGGTGTTTGGAATCAACCTGCGTTAAACACCAATTGGGGCAATTCACGGTACCTTTGTCTCCTAGAGCACCATGCCTTTTCGGGGGCTGCTTTCAGGTCTGGAAGGCTTGTTTTGCAATGGTCGGGCGTTGCGCTTTTTTGTTCGTGGTTGGAAACGTTCGCGGTCGAGCATTGACACTTTTCCATTCGTCCATTCCTCGCCCAAGCCCCGCCCGCTTCTCCCCAAGACTTGTGCGGCAAAAAAGCTGACAAATGTTCAAAACCTTGCGCTCGCCCTTGCGCATTCTTGCGCCTACCTCGTAAAATGGCACTCTTCCGAGGCGGCTCGTTGTCACGGGCCAGCGTTCCCGCTGCGGAGGCAATGCCAGAGGTAGATGTTGCAGGAGATGAAGGATGAGGCAGCGTCTGACCCAGAGCCAGGCTCCAAGTGATACCAGCCGAGTTGCGCGAGCCCCACATGTTACACGCAGCGTGGTTATCGACAGGAAGGCGTCAGACCTCTGAGCTTCCGTCTTTCAGTCTTTGAGGCCTTCCGAGTTGATGTTGTAGAGCATCTGCCTAGTTCTTCAGGCCGCAAAAAGACAGACAGATGCCTTTGATTGCGAGCGTCCGCCTTACCAATTTAGTTGCAAGCGCGTGCGTGTTTGCATTGCTGCCTGAGCATTCGGTGAGAGTCAGTGGGTTCAGACAAACACTTCCAGACCTTGTTTGGCAAGACGCGGATTTGGTTTGTTTAGATACGGACTCGGCATGTCTTAGCAAAGCCTTTTCTTAACATTGTGTCCGCGGTGGGGGTAGCACTGTTCCACCCGCAGACGCAGACGAATTACGAAGACACATTGCCCCGAAGCAGACTCGAGCCCAACCACATGCCCGAAGACGCGAAGACGAATCCCCCCCCGAAGACGATTTCCCCCCGAAGACGATTTCCCCCCGAAGACGAATTCCCCCCGAAGACGAATTCCCCCCCGAAGACGAAAGATGGCAGGTACGCAGACAACAGGCGCTTCACCGTAGCTGCGCTTTCATACAAAGGGTAGATTTTAAGCTGTCTCCTGCGACTCCAAGGCTCCGCCCAGTCACCTCCCTCGCCCTTGCCCTAGTTTGTTTTAGGCAGGCGCAGTGCTACTTGCAGTGCAGCTCGTTGCACTCACAGGCCGGACAGTCCGTGAATCCTTCTGTTGAAGCATCTTGTAGATTGTGCCGGGGGTAGATCCAAAGGCCTTACGGCGAAACTCGAATAGACCAGGGCTTTCACATTTCAAGGAACCCCTGACACGCGAACTCCGAAGTGGCGATTGCTGATCTTCTGCGCGGGGGGGCTGACCACAGTGTCCATCCCCCATTCTAGGAAAATGCATTTAGGGGGGACCTAGGTACCTTATGCATTTTATTTTTATGCATTTTTCTCCCCACGTAGAATCTATAGTGCGCTATCATACGTTATTCGTGAGATTACATGAGATTTGCTTTGCCATCATGTCTGGTCACATGTTGAAACAAGTGTGAGAGCATGTATGTGAGAGCATGTGATCCTTGGCGCCACCCCGGCGCCACCTTTGTTGAAAGTCTAGCATTTTATTGCAGTTCTTTTGCGCGGGCGAAAAAACAGCCGCCTGACTCCTCGTGCATCTCTTTACTTTGTTGGATTCCTTCATCCCGGTGGCGTCTCGAACCCTTTGGTTGCACTTGGGACTAGTGCATCGCTAAGCCATCGCGTTAAGAAAAAGTGCAAATCCGCTTACGCCCAGCGGCCGGAAGCAGATGTCGTGGCGCGGCAGCAGATTTCCAGCCTGAAATCCGCTAGCACGCTGTCAAATCCGCTTACGCCCAGCGGCCGGTAGCCGCCCAGCGGCCGAAAGCCGCTCACGCCAGTTTTGGAAATCTGCTACCGGCCGCTGGGCGTAAGCGGATTTGCCAGCGCGCTAGCGGATTTTTTGCCAGAAATCTGCTGTCGCACCACGAAATCTGCTTGCGGCCGCTGGGCGTAAGCGGATTTGAAGGACTGCGCAGAGCGCTTGCGTGCAGCGGATAGCGAATGCTGAGCGGCTGGGTGTTGAGCGCGGAGGTATTTGCGACCAGGTTCATATGTAAATAGCCATTACTTGAGTCACGCGAGGGCGTGCAAGGGTGTATCACACAGGTGCTCCATTTGTGGTCTTGCCTGGATAACGATACCCAACAACGCTCTCCAAGATGTAGGTCCAAAAACACCTAAGTGGGTCGATGTCAAAAGTAGGCCTTCAGCCCAAGCTGAGCTTTGCAGGCGCACTCATTCCTTCTGCTCTGGCGGTTGAAGGAGGCTTTGTGTCATGTCCTGGCTCCCGGATGTTGAGGGGGGACCTTAAAACTGCAGATGTGCATTTTCCAGGTCCCCCACCCCTTATGCGTAGGGGATCAGTGTCCCAAGCATCAGCTTGCAACTCGGGGGCTGACTGCTGTTGTTTTCCACGTCTGCCACGCAGCCGCCGCTCCTGCCAAGAGAAGCACGATAGTACCAAAAAGCCCCTGGAGGAAAAGCCATGTCGATGTCCAAGCTTTGCGAGGTGAAGGCCAAGAACGAGTTGGCGATGAGCATAGCTGACGCATCCACGAGAGCCTCGGAATCCCACGTGGATGAGGATGGGATGTCTGATGCCTCAGCTGCTTCTTTGGGAAACACGACCTTGGCCAGCTCAAAGCTGAGCAAGGCCCGCAATGAGAGGGACAGAGGCCCTAAGAGGGCAGCGAAGAGGATCCGAAGAGCCATGATCAAGAAAGGCATGTGTCAGGAGGTTGTGGATGCGATGACGGACCAGGAGGTGCTCAATGCGAGGGAGACCTCACGGCGAACACCGTTTTCAGATCTCCTCGCAGAGCACTTGGGCATGGTCTCGGAGGGCGCCGCGGTCACAATCCAGGAGCGGCTGAGTGCGGCGCTTGCCGTGCCTGCGGGCCTGAAGGATCCGCTTACGGAAGCGGAGTTGAGCCGGGCGCAAGCCTTTGCCAAGCCGGCGGAGGGAATCGGTGGCAGGTGCAAGTTCTGTGGTGTGGTCTGGGACCCCTGCCACGCCCAGGGCAAGAACCACCTCAAGGCGGTCACAGAGCATGCCCTGGGGACACGGCTCTTTGGCCCAGCCTCTTCAGCGAAGAGGCTTGACGCCACTGGGCTCGTGGTTGCCGGGCGAAAGCCGACCAAGCAGGAGGTCCAGCGCTTTTGGGGCGATGTCACGCTGATGCCCGTCGTGTTGTGGGACCGCCTGAACAAGGGGGAAGGCATCCAATTGCGCTGGGGCGGTGCGAAGAGCAAGGTGTGGCAGATCAA